TCAGTTTGGAAGAGAAAAAGTTCTTATCAGACTCTGGTGAAATATGTTAACTGTACCATGGCTGAATTTCCTTTTAATTTGAAATGTAAATAATAAAGCTCAACTTGTACTAATCTGATAGTAATATCAATAAAATATAGCCTAAGACCTCCCAAAAGTTACAATAACTTTTCAAAATAGGGTGCATTTCTAAAACAAAACAAAAAGACAAAAAAATAAAAAACACCTAACCCAACAACTTTATTTTAAAAATTCCTGAAAATGAAAATCAAAATTAAAAAAAGGAATAAGATTACACATACAGAAATTCTTATTTAAATTTGATTGATGCTTCATTAAAAAACTGATAGAAATGCCATGCCATAGTACTGGGCTTGGAATGAAGAAAACCTTAGCTCAAATTCTCCTTCTTCCTATAACAATTAATAGTAGCTGATCATCGGCAAGTCACTTCAGTTGTACCTCAAGGCAACTCCTTGGGACTTCATTACTAAATCATAAGTAAGTTGTTGCATCTGGTGGAGGGAGTTAACCAAGCTATGAGTTCCCTTCAAGTGGTCATTGTAACTTTTCATTCTCCTTACCCCAAAGTATAATCATGCATAAAATTGACTTCCTACTATCCCACAGGATAAGGTTCAAACTCCTTAGGCCTGTATTCAAGGACTTCCACAAGTAGGTTACAATTAAAATGCTAAAATATATTCCACACTTGGATATTAAAGCACAGAAACATTAACAATTTAATCTGGTAGTGTGACTTTAGATAAGTCACTTAACCTTTCAATGCCTCATACAACTCAGAAAGACTACATGACACCAAGAATACGTGCTGATAGCTACGCTAGTAGTTTCCTTATCAAGAGTTCCCTCTATCAATAAAATTGCAGGTTTGATATTCCCCCCAAACTAATATTTTAAAGGAAATTACATCTTTTCAAACCCTCAAACAAGAAACCAGAATCTTAAAACTTGCTTAAGGGAAACAGTACTAAGAAATTAACCTGAATTCTAAATGTTGCTTTCCTTTTACCTGCCATTCTAAATTTTAAAAGTAGGTTAAAATTAGGAGGGAGGTTTTTACAAAAATGGACACTTGGTGGGGTCATTCTCTTAAAAAGTAGAATCATCTATATTGCCTAATTTTTTTTAATGGACAATATATTTTTGGATCAAAATTTAGACCACACACACATCCTACAAGATAAGTCATAAAATCATACTGGATGAGAGAGAGAGAAAGAGAGTCTTTCAGAGCTTCTCTGTAAATCAGTTTATGGGTCCCTAAAATGGGATATGAGCTGTCTTCTTTTCTCTTCAAAGGGATTTGGAGAGGAGACAGTAGGGATTTATTAACAATGTCATAATTACTAGCATTTGCTAGTAATTATGATTTAGGTGAAAAGAAAGAAAACAAATATATACTATAACAATATTATTATAGTATGTGCTTAAAAACAACAAAGACTGATAGATAATTAGGCTCTACATCACTAATAGCAGAAGAGAGGAAGAAATAAACAAAAGGATTCTATAACTAAACTGGTTGCAAGACTCTACAGATACACACACCAAAAGAAACTCTTATTCTACATTGATAAAGGAAACCTCACAGGTTATTGTGTTTTCTTTTTTTAATGAATATTTAATTTCAAGACTTTGAAACTGACATAAAACAGAAATAAGACCCTAAACTAGCTAAGTGACTGGCCAGGACAATAGCAAAACAAGCTAACTTCTCCTGAGTTAGTCCTCCTTTGGAAAATCAATTCCGCTAAGACTAAGTCAACAACCTTTTTTATTATCTAAGGGCAGCTGGCTAATTACAAGCAAACTACATAGTCACAGAATTTTTGAGATAAAAAAAAAAAACAACCCTTGTAGGGGAACTCTCTTACTTCACAGGTGGGGAAACTATGTTAAATAACATGCCCAAAGTCACACCAGTCAAGTAGCAGAATGAGGACCAGAACCCAGGTCTCCTGGCTAGTTTCGCACTCTATAACATCATGCTGCCTCTCCAAACACAAAGGAATACTTTTCTAAGACTGAACTCACTTTAAGATCCTAGAACACACATTTTGAAATTATATAGTGAAGCAGCAAACAATGTGTAGGCTGGAAGAAAAGACATGTTCTAGTAATGAATATAGGTCTAGTGCCTGTGCCACTAAGGAACAGGCCAAGCCACAAGGCCTTTGAACCTCACTTTGTGTGTTGTCTTCCCTAATTAGAATGTGAATCCTTGAAGAGCAGGGAATGTTCTGATTCTTTATTTTAGGCAGCTAGGTGGTACAGTGGCTAGAGTGGGGACTTAAATTAGGAATATCTGACTAAATATTTATTAAAACCTCAATAATTCCAGCTTCTGATACTTACTAGTTGGGCCCTGGGAAACTTCCCTCAGCCTCAATTTCCTCATCTGTAAAATGGGAACAAAAATAGCATCTACTTCATAGTATTGCTATAAGGGTAAAATTGTAAAGTACTTAAAAAGCCTTAAAGCAATATATAAATACTAGCTATTATTATTATTTTATTCCCAGTACTTATGACAATGCATGGCACATAGTAAATAATAAATGCTTTTCAATTCTATTAATTTTGATGAAGGAGTTAAACTAGATGACTTCTAAGTTTAGTTCCAGCTCTCAAATTCTATGAAGGCAAAGGCCACATTTGTTTACTAACTACCACACAGTGGTAGTCGGCTTTCAAGTCAGAGGTTTTAGGTTCAAATCCCAGCTCTAATATCGTGTGACTTTTAGCAAGTAAGTCATTTAACTTCTCTAGGTTTCAAGGGGATGGACTAGATGACTTCTAATGTCCCTTCCAGCTTTAAATCTACATTATATTAACAATTAAAACTGGATGTTTTATTTTTTAATACAAAGAAACTGAGTGCAGGAGTTCTTCTGACACCTGGAGTTCAGGAAGGAAAGAATTAGATCTGGATCATATTCCGAGCTATGATTTGACCTCACTGTGAAACTTTGTGCAAGTCTCTTTAATCTTTAGGAGTTTGTTTTATATCTATCCCTGGACAATACCATTTAGAGTGGTTGCTAAAATCTGGTCACCTAGCTTCAAATTTTCATTTTACAGATGAAGAAACTGAAGATCAAAGAAATGAATTGCTTTGCCTAAGGATCATACAGTAGATCTCATCTGGAAGGAAAGACCAGATTAATTAATGCCTTTACCTTTCATTTAAACTGTATACTTTTTCTAAGATTGAGTTCACTTTAAGATCCTGGAACTCAAATTTTGAAATTATAAAGGGAGGCAGCAATGTGTAGTAAGAAGGGCATTGCACTGGGAGAAAAGAGACATGTTCTAGCTAAGAAGTGGCACTAAGGAGTTGGCCAAGGCATAACTTCTTTGGACCTCACTTTGTATGCTGTAGAATGTGAATTCATTGACAGAAGGGACTGTTTTGATTCTTAACTTTAGGCAGATAGGTGGTACGGTGGCTAGTGTACAGGTGATTATAAGCTCCTAGAGGGCTGGAACTGACTTTTGCCTCTGTTTGTATCCCTAGCACAGTGACTGGCAAAAAGCAAATATTTAATAAATGTTTATTGGCTGACTGTGTGAATGGAATTATTTACATGTTGGCTCTTTTTGTATATTCAGCATTTAGCACCAGGACTAGCAGATAGATGGCATTTAACAAATGTCTGATTGATTGTGTGAACAGTTATTTACATGTTGTTTCCCGCGTTAGACTGCAAGCTTGAGGGCCTCTTTTTGTATCCCCAGGGGTCAGCACCGTGCTTGGCACATAACAGGCCCTTAACAAACGTTTATTAATTGACAATGTGAACAGAGTTATTTACATATTGTCTCTCCCCATGTGAGCTCCTGGAAGACAGTGACCACGTTTTTGTTTCTGTTTTTTTTAACTTTCTTTCTTTCTTTTTAACCCCACAAAGTTTAGCACGGTGCCTAACACATATTAAATGTTTAATAAATGCTCGCTGACTGTCTCAAAAAACGAAGTAATTTCTAGGGTTCCTTCCAGCTCTACATTTCTATTATTCGAGGAGGATTTAGTACTTAGTGTAATTTGACTGGGTGAGGGAGGGGGAGAGGGTAGAGGTGGGGACTCCAAAAACACAAGTCCCCACTCTTGTCAACTGCAGAGAGATGAACCGCTCCAAGACTCGTCCTCAAATCCCTCAAACATGTTAACTCAAGCAATCAACAAGTATCCCTTGGTGAAACAAGAGCGTCCCACTCATCCCCGTGCCCTCCTCCAAGTACGGTCTCATCTTCCTCAAACTTCCTTCCACCTCAGGAGGGGAAAGGGAAGCCAAAGACCAATGTTTTCGTGGAGTCCATCCTCCTCCTTCACCTCCTCCTCACCGGGCATCACCTCCAGAGCCACTCCCACCTGGGCCACTCCCTTCCCTTCCCTCCCTCCGAGGCCTCGGGTCATACTCCGTCCCTCCAGTCCTCTCTCTGCCTCTCCCCTGTCCCCGTGTCTCCGGGCCCGCCAGCCTCACCAGCGGTTCGCCGTGGCTCGAGCTCCAATCGGTTGGCTCCAGGCCGCCCCGAACATTAAGGACACCCGGGAGCCGGGCCCCGTGGCTCAGGCCCGAGGGGACACTGAGGCTCCGGCTCCGGCTCGGGCTCCAGCTCCTGCTCTGGCTCCCGAAGGGACTCTTCGGCCGCGGCGTAGCATTTTGAGAGGGGACTCCGGAAGCGGCGGGCTAGCGGAAAACGGAAGTCAGACGAGACTAAGTAGCATCCTTCCCCCCCGGACCCTCGCGGGGCGTCAAACGCCCCTAACAATCTTCCTCTGCAGTTGTAAAGCCTGACAGGCTGAGGGATTAAATCAGAGCCATGATTCGAGCCCTTAGGCCATTTCTTTGGGGTACGAAGACTGAGAGACAGGAGATGGGAGAGGGAGCTCACCCTTCTTGATGGAAGGATATGGTATGACCCAGTTGCTATGGGGACAGAGAGTAACATCAGTTGGGAGCCAAGGGGGCGGGGAAGGCCATGGCCACTCTAGTCACTCTGCAAAATCGGCTCCCGTTCATTGAAAGCCAGTACTACTATAGGAACAGGTAAGGCACCGACGAGAAACTTAGACAGCAGGTTTCCAGCCAGATATTGGAGCTTCCTGCCACCAATGCCCTAAACCTAAAGCAATAACTATGACTGAATCCTCCCTTTCCCCCTCCCCCCACCTCATACTTTCTGGAGTTAGTGGAACCTTTATAACTTTAAGAACAAGGTTTAAAGGAAGAGGACGTGGTCTGGAAGACCCTGAACCGCATGTGCACCTTTAAATGAGAGCCTTCCCAAGCAAAATGGTGGTTTGTCTTCGGCCTCATCGGCGCCCCCATTTTCATTAACTCTTCTTACAAGCTCCAGCGTTTTCTGGCACCGCTGTAGCCTGGATTTCGCCCTTCCTGGATCTCACAGTTCCTCAGTCGTTCGGGACTAGCCTATTTATTACCAATGGGGGCATCCTGATTGGAACTTTCTGTTCTATTTCTTAGTCCGTTCCCAGAGACAGAGAATAATGGGAATCGAGACAATCCCTCTGTGCCTTTCAAAGTGAGACCAGCAAAGCCAATCTTATCAGTAGACATGTTGGGAGGAGAGGTCTATAGAAGGACACCGCCTCCTCCTCCAAGATCCCCAGCTGCTCACAATTAATATACATTTTAATTGTTAGGGGGAGGAGGCAAATGTTCCACCTTTGTTGTCTAACCAAAAGAATTGATTTTAATTAAATCAATTTTAAGCCAGATAATTTTTTTTAAAAAAGTATGAACCCCTTTTAAGCCAGGAGGAGATATTTGGGGACAGGTAGGATCTTAATGAACTCCTCAAATTATGTCAAACAAATGTTTACTTACACTACTATACCTAGTTTAAGTGACTGAGCTTTAAAAACACAGAAACAATGATAGGAGTTAAGAGCCAGAAATAGAAGTATTATAAATTTCGGTAAGTTTAATAATTTACACTTATGACAGGCAATTATGCCCAATGTTGTAGATTAGGAGAACTTCAAAATATGTACAGAATCTTGCATTTATATAGTATTTGACTCACAGTCCTTTGAGGTAAATAGTATAATATTATCCCCATTTTTTTAAATGAGAAAACTGAGACTCAAAAGTTAAATCATTTGGCCATGATTGCAGAGCTATTAAAATTTGGAGCCAGGACTCATATCCAGTGGGAGGGTCATTGGGTTTGAAATCAAAGGGCTTCAAATCCTCGATCTATTACTTAATACCCATATGACTTTGTTCAAGTCACTGAACTTTATTGGCATCAGTTTCCTCATCAGTAAAATGAGAGGATTGGACTAGATATGCTCTAAAGCCCCTTCCAGTTCTAAATCCTATAATCCCAGATCTTTTGATTCTAAATCCATTGCTTTCTGCTATTCCTCACTCCTTTTCCCTTTTGCTGACCAAGCTTTCAAAAAGCTTATCTTCATTCATATGCTTTCCCCCATGCTTCTCATTTCTTCCCATTGTTTCCTGAATTTTATCATACTAATATATCTTCTTAATGTGCAGTGGTATTTTACCTTTTAACTTTTAACTTTTTACCTTTCTCATTCTTTATTTTAAATAAGTAATACCCTTTCAGATCCATATTTTCAATATACTTACTCCCTGAAATAGTACAGACTGCAATTCATCTACCTTTTTATTTCACCCTGTATAACTCTTGGTTTATATCTGTCCTTTGTTAGGCGATCCACCAGAAGTGCTGGTGTCTTCCTTTAGATCTCATGACATTACATGTTTACCAATGGAGCATTCAGTCTGTCCATTATTTATTCCTATTTTCTTACATAACCAGCCCTCATTTCTTTTCCAGGCAGTTTCTATGATAATATCTGTTACATTCTTTCTCCAGTGCAATTCATGATTGGTCATAAGCTGCAGCGTACACAGGCCCATGATGCTCTTTATTGCTCTCTAGATGACACATAATTTTAATTCCAGTGATACCTGGAATTAAATATCTGGATGTCAAATTTGTCTTTGCATTGGAATCTTTGGTTTGTTTTACTTGGTATTCATACTCTGTGTATCTGTGTCAAGGTCAAGGGCTTTACTCTTGGATACTTTTCTTAAATTGGTGACGCCTATAATTCTGGGTATCTTCCCTGCTGTTCTTCTTGCTACATTGTAGCTTTCTCTGTCTTCCTAGATAAAAACTGGTTTGTTTCCTACCTCCTTTTACTTTTTCATTTTTAGCAATCTTTTTGATTAGATTTACAAGACTTCAGCCAAATGTATTCATGCCAATCTTTGTTAGGTACACTTCATCCCTGATCAGGAGACTGTCATTTCTATATTCTAAACTATTCTAAACCCAAATACCTGTTCCAGACACCATCTTCTTAGCCAGCTGTTCAATTTCCAGATGTTTTTCTTTTCTAAAGCCCTTGCCTTCATTAGAAGCATTAATAGGAATAATACTTGTTGTACCCTAATGTTTTATTACCCAATAATTTATAATTTTAGCAATGTTTTCTAGATTCCTTCTGTACATATAATGTATATCCTTATTTATCATTCAGTTTGATACACCTTACAAGGTTCTTTGTCACATCCTGTATACATCCTTGGAAAGACAGTCTACCTCTTCATATTTGTAGATCTGAAAACAGTCATCATAGTACCCCTTAGCAGGGAGTTACCAGGCAGTACTTGTTTCTTCTTCCTAATGTACATAGGGCCTTTATTTTTTGTCATTGACTTTCTTGGATTATATGCTTAACAGTAGAATCTCTGCATCAAAGGGAATAGTCCTTTTCTAAGCATAATTCCAAAATATTTTCCCAAATGGCTGGTCCTATTCATATTTCCAATAGCAACAAAATACAGTGGTGTGCCTGTCTTTCTACAACCTCTCCAACATTAATTTCCTCTTATGTCATCTTTGTCAGTTTACTAATCTTGAGGAGAAACCATGAGCTTATTTTGATTCTAATTTTGCATATTATTAATGATTTGGAATATTCTTTTACTTAGTTGTTATTAGGTTGCAATTCTTCATAACCTTTGAACCTATTGGGTAATGGTTTATGATTTTGCATAATGTCATCTATGTTATATATCATTTGTAGTGTTTATTATTATAATAATAATATTTATAGTAGAAGCTAGGTAGCATAGTGGATAAAGTGCTGGGCTAAAGTCAGGAAGACCTGAGTGAAAATCTGGCCTTAGACACTTACTAGCTCTATGATCTTGGGCAAATCTCTTCAACTCTTTTTGCCTCAGTTTCCTCATCTGTAAAATGGAGATAATGACATCACTTTGGATTGCTGTGAGGATCAAATGAGATAATATTTTTAAGTGCTTAGTTCAGTGCCTAGCACATAGTAAGCATTATATAAATGCTAGCTATTATTATAATGTGTTACATATGCTAATTGTCTCTGTATTTTAGATATCAAACCCTTGTTTGATAAATTTGATGCAAAAATGTTTTCCCATTGAACTGCATCTTTTCTTATCCTAAATGCATTAATGTTGTTCATGTGAAAGCTTTTCAATTAAACATAAAGTAAATGATCTTTTTTATTCTTTTTTAATTGCCTCTATCCCTTGTTTGGTTAAGAATTCACCTTACCTTAATATCTATGAAAGATATATGCTTTCCTTCTAAGTTTTGTGATATGATCTTTAATATTCAGGTCATGTTTCCTTTTTGAATTTGTTGTGAAATCTGGTATAAAATGTTGGTGTAAGCCTAATTTCTGCCATTCTTCTCTGCAGCATTTGCAGCATTTCCTGTCAAACAGGGAGTTTTTTCCTAGGCTGAATAATTTATATTCTTGGGCTTATCAAACACTGGGATAATGAGTTTAAATATTTCTAATTCTTCCTTGTTTAGTGTGTACTATTAATCTACTTTTTCATATTTAACCAATACCAAATGGTTTTGATGATTACCTCTTTGATAATAGTATCTTCATAATATAGATCAAGATCTGAAATGTTTTTCCATTCATTCCTGCCTTTTTGTATTTCTCCCTTTGATATTCTAGATTTGCAAATGACTATTATTTTAAAACTTCAGTCAGGTCCATAATTTCCTCTTTGATTTAGAATTAGAAGAAAATAGATGCAAATATTTACTCTCCTACTTACTAGCCATGTGAATGCACTTGCTATAACCTCTCTGCGTCTCTATTTCCTCAATAAGGCCAGTACAAGATAGTCTCTAAAGCCCTTTTGAGCATTAATCCTATGATTCTATTAGTTTTTTTTCATAACTAATGCCTGCATTTTCTTATAATTTCCTTTACTAAAATCTCTAAAAATATTATATGAATTTCTTTTGCTTATCAGTTTTCTACCAACTTGATAAATATTGATACCTCTACTGTTTCATTCTGGTTCATCACAGAAAGGTGATCCCTTGGTCTTTAGTTTTTTTGTTTATGGCAATTTGGGATAAAGTGCTAAACTTTGGGTCTGTAAGGCCTGAATTCAAAACCTTTCTCAGACATTTACAAGCTGCATGATTCCGGGCAAGCCATTTAACCTAACAATCTCAGTTTCCTCAACTCTAAAATGGGAAAATTTTATCACCTACATCACAGGCTTTCTGTGGGGATCAATTGAGATAATATCTTTATGGTGCTTTGCAAATTTTAACTGCTAGTTATCATCATCATCATCATCATCAAAAATCTTTGAGGGAGCATGCACACTGATGTGATCATAGATTTTTTTCTATTAGTTGGTAAAGCAGATTCAAGAATATTTTTGCAAAGCATACTTTGATAATTATATAACACATTGTGTAAAAACAATTATAATTGTGATAGCAACAAGAAACTTATGGTTACATATGCAAATTCTTAAAGTGCTACTTATAAAGACTGAATAAGCCTCACTTGTACAAACATTTTGTGTAACTAAGAATCATAATCTCAACCACTTCTATTTAACTCTCTAGAACAAGGAACATAGGCTTTATTTACGTTTTTTATTCCTGCTTTAATAAGTATCTTCATAATATATATCAATAATATAGATCATACTGGATTTTTTTTGTTTGTTTTTTGTTTTAT